ACACGGCCAAGGTACCCGGTTCGATCCCGGGCGGAATCATTTTTTGGCGATTTCGAGTAAATTACGGGCTTTAGCGGTTATTAGGATATTAATAAACATATTGCTTGTAAATGTCAAGTTGCCTTACCGCCTTCCGCTGTCTAAAACCCTCAGAGTTTAGTTTTTGTTTTTCCGTGCTGTAACGGATCATGGCGGGCGCAATCGAAAAAGCTTCGGGTTTAACAATTCCAGCCAGCGGGAAGAAGAAACAGACAAAAATCTCCATTGAGCCTAATTACGGATTTTATTTGAAAGCTATTTTACAGAATGATTTTGATACTTTAAAATCGCTGATATTCCATGGAAAATCTATTGTATCATCAACATCGTCTGCCTCTTCCCCCTTAGCAGCAGCAGCAGCAGCATCATCATCATCGATCAAGCGCAATTCAAAATCATACGATTTATCGAGTGAAGATGCTTTACAGAATATTTCGGAGTATGTCAGGGCTCAGCTACGAACTTTAGATTATGAAAGTTCCATGTCTTTGTTAGAACATTCTTTGTATAAGGGAAATTCCCGATTATTCTGGTTTTTGTATTGGCTTTTTAGGAAACTATATGGCAATGATCATGATATTGAATGGAGGAGTACATTTGATTACATTGTCACTGTGGGATACAGACGCCTATCATCCCTCAAAATCAGCCCAGATCTTGCTGAAGCAGTATTCGAAAAAAAAGCAATATGCGATGTTTACGGAAACGTAGTCAAGCGTAGCAGAGATGATAGTGACGATATTTTTATTTCTGACTTGGCCAACGAATTAAAGCAGCTGCAGTTTGCGCCGCCACAATCTGATTTGTTTACGGAAGGATTGCAGTTCACTAAAATTGATACAAAACATCGCTTGTTCACATGGGGAAGTAACACAAACTCTTTGCTACTACAAAATGAACACGTGAACTTCAAGAACATGCCAGAATTGGTTTCACTTTCGACAATATCTGCTAGCAACAAGGCAAATCCTGAACATGTAAATCCAGTTGAGATTTTATATGGAAAATATGCAGTTGGTCTTGTAACAAAGAACGAAATAACTGGATCTTATTGTACTTATCTAACAATGAGTCGGAACTTTAATCCTGCATCAAGTGGTTCTACTTGGAAAAGAACGTTGGCAGCTGATGGTATTATCAAAGTTGCATTGGGACACTTTCATGCAGTGTTTTTAGCAGAGGATGGCGAAGTTTACTCTTTTGGTTGGAACAAATACGGTGGCTTGGGACTATCTTCTGAGTTAAATCTGAGACTCGCAGAAGTTACTCGCGTAACAGCAATCTCAAATGCATTAAAGAAGAATGAAAAGAGTATAATGAAGCCCGGAGAAAAGCGTGGCTCGCATACAACAGATAAAGTTATTGGAATATCCTCATCTAAAATTGCATGCTTCTGTTGGACTCAAAAAGGCCTCATTTTTGTCTGGGGTGTAAACAATGGTCAGTTAGGGCTACCTCAAGCCTCAAATAACATTCAGTCTTCGTTTAATCCAAGGAATTTCAATGCAGGAGCTGATGTTGATCCTGCTACTGTTGAGCATCTTCCAAAAAGAATAAGTTTTGTTCCACCCGTTGGCTCACGTATTGTTGATATCAAAACTACTGAAACCTTTAGTTTGATTTTAGTGGCACCTACTTATGAAGTCTATCTTATTAATAATTTCAAGTTTTCAAAGCTATATCTACCTCTTACCGACTTTGACAAATGGCAATTGAGAAGCAATCCAGAAGCCAATGTTACTCAAACATGTGTTGCGATTGCAGTTTCAACTAGGAAGGCTGGTGTTCTAACTACAAGAGGCGACTTGTTTATTATCTCTAACAACGTGTCGGAAATTACAAGGGTCGTCTCTAACGCTCGTATGTTTGCGATAAGTGATTTTGACTCAGTCGGTGAAATTTTATATATTGACTTTAAAAGTAATTTACTATTCAAAAAGCTCAGTACGGGATCTGTAGCAAAGAGATTGTTAAGTGGAGTAGAATTCAAAAGCTTATCTTTATCCAACGGCACATATGGAATGGTTGTTAAGGAACATAGTTTGTTGGTTCCCAGGCCACCAAACTTCTCTCAAGAACGCCCTGTTATGATCTCCTCTTCTGACAATGTTGAACTTATTCTGGCA